GCAGGCTATAAAGCATTTCAGCTTTAGCTGCTGGTAGACACTTAGTGAAACATTACTGAGTGATCAGGTTTATATAACAGATATATTCTAACATTTTATGTTATTCACATTATTCAGGCACCAAGATTAGATGGGGAAATGGATTCTGTACTCTATTGCTGGGCATATGAACAAACAATGGAAATGCCAAAATGACAAATGCTCTCCCATTCATTTTACATACTTTAATTTGCAGAAAACTGCAGAAGCCTGCATCAGAATTTCCTGCAGGATTAGCTTAAGGAGGGTTGAACATGATGATTCAAACCCCTCTAAATATTTAGCAACTCAAATATTCTCTAACTATTTCAGTGACATATCAGAGTTTCTACTTTGAAAAGACTGAAAACCTATGTAGCTGTGTATGAATTGGTCTCCCTTTTACTTACAAACCTTTTAGATGAAAGGGCTAACACAACATATTATTCAAAATATTTTTAAAATAAAAATGAGAAGAATGAGTTGTCACCTAACAAGGTCAAAAGACAAGGGGCAATGCAGGATTGCTTACCAAGGCCAAAGAGAGCTTCCCTCTCTTTTGATTTGGAAACCAAGGTTTATGTTCCTTGCACCTTTAGTGTGAAATACAAAAGGTATTGTATATCAACAGCAAAATTCCTACAGGCTTCATTAAGGCCATTTTTTATTTCTGTCTAGTTTTGGTTTTGACATGTAGTTACAAGCTTAAGTTATGTTTCCAAATTAAGTCCTGTCTCATTGACGACTATAGCTTTATTTCTCAAAATTCCTCGCTAAGTTAAAAAATACGACTCTATCACTCAGCAGGTATCTTAGTATTTTTCCATGTAATTTAATTACCTTGATACAGGTTTATAACAAAATGTAGTAATAATCTGTGATAGAGCAAATAAGCATTTGTTATAAGCAAATTGTGATAAGCAATTGTTGTGGAAAAAAGCATTAGTGTTCTCTTTAAAAGGAGAACGTGTAAGATGCTACTGGTGCAATTCTTACACAAATATATGCTCCCTCACGTGAGTACTCTCACAGAAATGAATAGGATTGCTTATGTGGGTAGGTGTTCATCACTTTGAGTATGGATAGCAAAACCAAAGTCCAAAAAACGAGTACAAACCAGATCAAACACAACGGGAGTGACTGCAAGCGTTTCTTAATTTTGAATTTCTTGGAGAAAGGCCAGGCTGTAATTAGATTTTCTGAACATAATTTCCTCAGGGATTTCAAGAACTGCAATACAAAAAGCTACTGCATGTTTCAATACTAAAATTTCATTTGGCCTGATCTGTGTTTAACATTTGTACCATCCAAACTCTACAGAGCAAGAAATAGTTCTTCAGATAGCAAAAAATTCAGTCTATGATCCCTTTTTCATCCTAAACAAATTTAAAGCCCTAAATGCAAATTAAAAAGTATCTTATGTATTAATACTATTTATTATCTTCTGTTGTATAAAAACATATGTGGTTTGTTTGACAGTTTTTAATATCTTGCATAACAGTGCTAACATTTTATGCTAGGTATTAGCAATAAACAATGAGCTATAAGGAAACATACAAGGTATTTTTTCCATGCTTACATGGCTCCTGGATTTTTTTCTTCTTAACCATAATTTCAGTTAAGAAGGTTACTCTTGGCTTCTAATTTTTGTGCTTTTGTACACCTTGATGTATAGGAGAGCATAACATAGCAATGAATGTTTATCTTCTGTTAGGCTCCAATTCTTTAAAGAGTTGTCTATTATTTATGAAAATGTACAATACATTTATGCCAAACTTGCGTATGCACAAAAATGGTGTATAGTTTTTTCTCTTTTTTTCTCTGTTAGTTAAAATATTTTTGATAAACAATTTCTGAACTGCAATTAAAGGCAATATTTGGATTATCAATACATACACTTTAGAAAGAGGCATTGTGATTTGTAAAGCCATGGGTATCAGTTGGGATTTTAAGTAAAATCACTCCAACACAGAAGTTTAGGTCAGAATTTAACCTGATGACTGTAAAAACTTTGTGCTGTTTTCCAGCGTTGCAGCAATTCCCCTTTTTATTGTGCAGCACTGGGCTTCGCCCCATGCCCAGTACCACGTCAGATGGACAGGAACAGTGCTGAAAGGGCACCACTGAGTCAGCTAATGAGGCCCCAAGCCACAACCTCCACAGCGGCTGCAGATCGTGAATGGAAACTGTCAGACCTGCAGCACTGTACTGTGAAATTGGAAGCAAATACTGGTAGTGATGTGCTGCCACTGGTAAAAGATAACCACTAAGTTGTTCCTACTGACAAGATTAATTAGACAACTAAATTACTACTTTTATCTCAGCAGTGCAATCAAGAACTGAAAGAGTGCAAGGAAGAAGCAAATGGAAGAAAAGCCATATAAAGACAGAAACCAGCCCATCTCATTTTAAGATATTTTGTGCAACCTGTGTTCCTTTAGCAGTATTATTCTGCATATTAATCTCTACAGATCTTTTACATGTAAGTATTTTCATGGGCTAATGGGAGGTGATAGACCCAATACCCATTTATTGAATTGCCTTTTCTCATCTGAAATGTCTTTAAAGAAAGATGAACCACAACACCCCCCCCCTTCTAACTCCACAGCATATTCATTATCAGATCAACTCACACTACTAATTAAGTTAAATTTGACTGCTAAATAACTCCCAAAGAGCCAATTTATCTAAGGTAGTATGAGCATATCTTCATTTCTCCTTATACATCACCAGCTGTTATTAATTAAATACTAGTCACTTCAGACTGCAAGTTTGAAATAATTGCCACTATGGAAACACTTGTACTTAACAGTGAGCTTGGCTATTACTTTACTGATATTGATAGTAGTCTGAATATAGGTAGACACCATTCCAGTTATTTCATTTTAGAGTTTGTGAGATATTCAGAGGCATGTGGGGAATTTTCAAATTTGTTTCTTGAATGTAAAAAGCTTTATCATAAATACCCATGAAGCGCAGAACTGAGTTTGAAGGATTACTCTCTAAAGAAAATGTCTCCTCTCTGAGGGTGTAATATACCTTTTCAAGCTCAGAGATCACAGCAGCAGAAAGTGATTTTCCCCTCTGCAACAGCTCCTCTCAGCTGGCTTCTGTACTAAGGTGAGGGTTGAACTGGTGCTTGCAATCTGCTTCCTTGCTACCCACCTTCCACCCACATCTATGAAGCATCTGTGGGCTGATGCTTTGACAACCCTGCTGCGCGAAGACTATCAGTATGACAAAGTATTAGGAGGAAAAGGTGTACTTTGCACTCCAGTTTCTGGACAAATACACAGCATTTAATTAGTCATTGCAGCAGAAGGTTCAAAGAGGTCTTCATTACAGATAATGAATAATATTCTTGCATGGAAAGGTTTTGCAACCAAAGGGAGACAAAACTGTCCTCTGGATGCATTTCTTAGTCCACTGGTAAGACTGAACTAGTCTTTCTTGAAATCACCTGCATTTTCTCAAGTTTCAGTCATCATAGTACATGTAATAAAAATGAAAATCTTAAGTTTGAAATATTTATTAATTCCATGTTTCAGTGGAAGTGTGAATAAAATCTGCACACTTCCAGAAAGTCTAATTCTTCCATCTTTAGTAATACACTTCCAACACATTGAATTCTGCACAGCTAGTTGGTATAGACATTAAACTAGTACTTGATATATAAAGTTTTGCTTTCCTTTACTCTGAAGGCCATTTACATGAAAAAAAGAGATTGTAGAGAACGAACAACATTCCATACATTCATCTCACTTCACGTATATCATGACATGTTTACTATCTTGTTGATAAACATAAGACAGACACAACATGAACACCAGAAGAGCAACTCTAAAATCTCTACAAATAAATATTTCATTTGAATTTTTATTGTGTTCATGAAAAAATATAATGAACATTTTTAAGGTGATCTAGAAGCACAATATTTTCATAAACAACTTCTGGAAGATTATTTTCTTTTTTCCATTACTGATATTTAAATGTGAGACTATGACCGTAGTTAGAAATCAACTTTGTTGTATGGGAGACAATGGGAAACAAATGTTGTACCTTTTAATGAGCTGAATTCACAGCCGACCTGCTGGGTTTAATTTATGCAATAATTTACGAAACAAAACCGTGAGTCTTTCATCTATGTACTGCATTTCACTTATTTTCATGGAAACATGTACTGTTTTCTTGCATTTGGTACTCTTGCTTGTGAGCAGTTTCTAACCTCCTATCTAAATATAAATTGCTTATACAAACAGATTATTAAGAGAGAAGTGGAACAAAATCCTTAAGGCCTTTAGAAAGAATACAGATGAATGTGTTTATGAAAGGCCATATTGAAAAGTCTACATTTTAAACGTAACAATAATTTCAGTTTCCTAAAAGATACAAATCAATTTCAGCTTAAAAGCAGTGAATCATTATCATCAAGTTATGTTAATTATAGCATTTAAAGGCTTAAGGAAATCTAAACATATTGAAGAATACTGCAGACAGAAAAGAGATGAGACGTCTATACAGAAGGCCTGTAAGTTAGTTGAGTCAACAGTTCATATATATGATTTGCCAAGCAAATTCACCAAGAATAGCTCTTATTCCTAGAATTACTTTGTTTTAATCTTGCAACTCATATAGCCACTTTATGTAGATTTAATGAGGCACCCTGAGGTTGCCCAAATACTTGCCCCATCTTATTGGAAGAAAATACTAAAACAACCTGACATTCATTAGCTACTCAGAAGCTACATTGAGCTAAATTGTCTATCCAGCTTTATGTGGTGATTCTGGGAATAATTTTCACCATTAGTTTACAAAATTACTAAAAGAAAGTTGCTTTATGTAAATTTGGGAATCCTACTGAGGTTCCTGACAATTGATAAAATGAAATGGAGAGAAAATAACCAGTGCAAATAAAAAGCAATTTGCATGAGTTCTGGTCAAATGGAAAGAAACTAATGGACATAGCATTATAAGCAACTTGCCTTGTAAACTGTAGATTTCTCCAACGCTGTTCTGCCGGGTGATGTGATGCCAATATGCACTACGAGGAAGTGAGATCGACTTGGATAAAGTCATTGGTTCAGACAGACTGGTCTGGAGCTAAAAGCCAAAGCAAACATAAATGGAAGATCACACATAAGCATACTTGATAGTTAATAAAAAAACTGTAAATTGAATCTATGTTGTCATGAAGATTCTATTTCCTGGATTACCACAGGTTTTATACTATCATTTAAAACAGTGTTATAAGCATTAGCACTGTGAATGTTCATGGAAAAGCTGCAAAAGTGTTTTTGGGCATACAGGTTCATTAGCACAGGTTAATATCAGGATATTGGACTATGTCCCTATTCATCTACAGCTACTCTTGTTACTGCCAGGATTTTGCTATTTTCTTCTTTAACTTTATGACAGTGATGAATTAGCATATGCCTGAAAATTTAAACCCCTCTACAATCACATTTCTTTTTGGTCATTTAACCTGCATATTGTATTGAATACACATAAAGATGCTAAAAGGGAATCTGAGACAACCAGCAGAGAATTAGCAATGAAGATTCATTAATCTCCTAATCCTCCTTTGAAGTGGAGGCATCTCATCACCAGTGGCAGGCTCCAGCATCAAGAGAAAATTTTCCTGGTCTGGGGGACTTCATGTAACCGAAACTGTGAACTGCATGGTAAGCATCCCTGTGTCCAAGAGCCACAGCACAGAAACCTAACAGGAGGAATGTAAACCTTATTTGAGAGATTTGTGTCTCCAACAAACTATGGATGTGAGTGAAAAACTATAGAAAAAAAACACTATAGAAAAAAAAAGAAAGATAAAGGATCGTGCTTTCTGACAACCCCTTTGGATAATCCCATATAAATTATGATTTCTGGATCTAGAAGAGATGAAAATGCACCAACAAAATATTTTTTATGTCTGGCTTTAGAGAATATAAAATGTGATCAATAAATTCTGGGATCTAACAAATCATGATAAGATTGTGGGCATAATTATTTTTGGAGGATGTCTGGAAGAATCAACACAGAAGGATCAAATGTCTCTGAAGATTTAGAACGAAAACCCTCTTAATTTCAGGAGTGGCACCAGGATGGTGAGGGTGGTACTCTGAAAAGGTGTGCCCAGAAACTCACATTTTTAGAGTCTCCAGCCACAGAGCAGAAGGTATTCAAGGTCCAGATTATTTACTGCAGGCTAATGATTGACTCCTAGGGATTCCTATTCACAACCATAATGCCAAATTAGAAAAACTGCCCTTTTTACCTGTACAAGCTCATGCTATTCTGTAATTAAGAAAACCTCAAAACCAAACAAAAAAAACCCTTTTAGAAACAGTATCCTCTCAAAGATCTAAAATTATTTACATTTTGAGCATTAACACACACTGATGTGTGGCATGTATTTTTCATCAATATGCTGCAATTACTTCTGCTGTTGTTTTCTCCAGAATTGACATCAAAATTATTCCCTGTCTATGGCTAATGTCTTTTCTACTAATTTATAGCCAAGTATTACATTTCATTTGTCAGTGGTGCAGATTATCACTGGAAGCTACTAGATAAGAAGTTAAGAGCTTCCAGAAACACTTCCACCATTAAAAAAAGTTTCAAATCCTTATCACAGGAACTCTATTTTTAGGGAGACTTGAGGATTTAAAGTTTATGGATATGCAGTATTTCCTTTATTGTAGAGACCAGGACAATAACAAAACATCTAAAATGTTTTACCACATAAGTATAGCAAGGGTAACATGGCTAACGTCATTGAGTAAGAAACATACATAAGAACATGTCACTTCATTTTTCAAATTTATTCACCCAGAAGGTAAATTAAAGTCTTGAGACAACAGGAAAAACTTTTTCTTAGTATGCATTCAGAAAAAAAATCATTCCAGTTAAGAGAACCACTGTGACTATGGTTTATTATTATCGCAAAGCTAAATCCATGGACTGAATGGAAGTGGTTAAAGTAATATAATTATTCCTAATCTGAGGTGATTAGTTCTTGCATGATCTGACCAACACTGATGAAGAAGAACTTTATTTGAACATGTCAAAGCTTTGGAAGAATTAAAGAAAAAAATCTGTTCTCATTATAAATTAAGGTAAGAAATTCTCTAGCACAGAAGATTTCACTGCAAGTGTTAACAGTACTTTGTTGCCTCACATTCTCTAATTAAAGAACAACTTCTGATATCACCTTTTGGGCAAAAAGTATCACCATATGCTAACTGCAATAGGACCAGATGAACCACATTTCTTTGGGGATTCCATAAAGAGAAAATCCAATTTCTAGTTTATTAAAATACCATCCTCAGAATAGAAAACACTTTAAAATACAGCATCCATGTTTTTAATTTGAGACTTTAAAATAGAAATATAAATGTATGGATTTGAAGACCTTATCACCTTGTATATCACATAAAGGATGATAATATTGTAGCACATTAGTTTGTCCATGAAGTTATTCCCACTGAATGGTAGAACACTCACTTTGCCTTTAATCTTTCTTATCTGTATGAAAATCAAATTATTGGTCAAATGTAGTGGACAATGACAGAATACTTAGTTCTACAAACTGCTGTTTGTAAACATATTTCTGTGTTCAAAGAAAATTGGACAATCTAATGAGAGAAACCTACTTTCTCTGGAGAACATCTTAGACTGTGGGTATTTCTGACAAAAAACCTTAAAACGAAGGTGAAGAAAACAGACATAAATATCCATATAATCAGCTGTTCATATACTATGAAATAGCTTTTTGCTATATAAATAATTTCAGGTTAAACTAGAATTTTCCTCAGCTGTAAATGACATTCTGGTAGTTAACAATGTTAAAGTAGAAAACCAAACCAAACTAACAACTTGTAGGTTCAGGAAGATGAACCAGAACTGTTTAACTGCTAAACAATTAGACACTCAGGTTTAAGATCTCTGGTGTTCCAGACCAGTGAAAGAGATCACGCTCAGTAAGTTCGGAGACTTTGTCCTAGATACTCTTCCATCTTTTTACTATGCCTCAGAAGAAAACAACTGGCTCCTCCTCTACACTTTTTTAAAAGCAACTAACTCAGAGAATTATTCACTATGGAAAATCAAATCCAAAAACCTTTAAATTTTCTTCCTTTCTCAAAACATGTAGACCATCAGTTTCCTATCCTTAATTTACCACAAATATGATTTAAAATATATTTTAAAATTATTTCACATATCTCATTAAGCCCATTTAACATGTAGCAAATTAAATCAACATCTCTGAGTATGGATCTTTTCTTACATAACAGGCCAATGTTCAGCTGTTGCTTCCAACACTGACACATTTTCCTCAGGGGCTGGCACAACAGGCTCAGATGTATTAGCATCAACTGTACAGAAAGGACCCATAATGGCAGAGATAGTACAGACACACAGGACAAACAAATGCTTTGATCTGGGAATGAATTTGAGATGATTCTGCTCCTATACTCTGCACTGGCAAGATCCTGCTTGGAAGACTGAGTCTGTCTCTGGAGTGCTCAATATAAGAAGGACAGGAATTTGCTGAAGCAGATCCAGAGGTGGGACATAAAAGTGATCAAAGGGCTGGAATACCTCTCCTATGAAGACAGACTGAGAGATCTGGTGGTCAGACTGGAGAAGAGAAAGTTTCAGGAACCAAAATATTAAGTCATATGAAGCTTTTGCTTTGTCAGTGACAGCTCTATAATTCTTGAAGGTCTATTTGATTAAAATAGAAATAAAAAATAATAAAAAGAGACTATTAATGCCTCTCTCTAAGTACTTTCCCATATTTTTCATTATTGTGCTTCCATGAGACAAGGCTTAAGGACTAAATTTTCTTTTAATTCCCATAGGCCATCTCCATTGACTTAGATTTGTTACTCTGATATCAATAATGAATACAATTCCAAGAATGGAGCCTGTTAACTGTATTAGGGTTCTGAGCTTTGATCTCTTTAGCATACTATTCTCTCATTTTCTTTTTGTACTAAAAAAGTCAAAACACGGATGGTGACAGAAAACACATTTGGCTTGGGGAGACAAACTGAACAATATACAGTTTATTCCATTTTTTTTTAGCCTGCAATAAAGACAGTTTGCTTTTTACAGATATGCTCTGAAAATAGGTTAGTTTCTTATGGATAAAAAGCCCTGTCTCATTTCACATTCTCATTAGTATCTTTAAACAAATAGCACGAGAACTAGGTCACAGAAGACTAACGAGAGTTGTAGTCTGGAAATATGAATCAAATACCACTATTTAGATTTTTTTTCTTTATAAGTCTAAAGCAGGCTGCTTTGTGTGCTATGCCTTGAAGAGAAAAGAGGGCACAAAAAATGTATTTCACCTCTCAAGTTTCAATTAGCTGACAGTGTAATAGCACAGACTCATTTCACTGGTATCCACAGAGAAAACTTACTAGAGTGTAAGAATCACAATCTAGAAGGTAGCATTAGCTGAGGTACCAGCTCAGATATCAGCTGAGTCAGAGAACAAGCAGGAAGGCAGAAGTCTTTGGGTTTTTTAAAATGAGTTTTCGGTAATGACCAAGAAAAGGGTACTATGTTTGTCTTTTTTGCAAAAGCAACTATTGTTGTTCCATATTCAACTTGTGTACTATGACACATAGATCTATTTTACAAAAAGGAGCTCCCTTCCAGTACTGTGAAGCAAAATTTTGCCCATGTTTCTGTTGAATTCAATTCTGCTGTTCCAAACAATTTTCAAGTTCGTCATTTTGAATCCTCTCTTCATTGAACCACTTGTATTGCCTGGAAGTCTAATAATTATATTATGCCTCAATCCAGAACTTGTGTGAAAGTACTTCATAAAACTGGATGTAGGATGTATTCCTATGAAAGCCCACTGAGAATAGTCTTTCCTTTGGTGATGTGTTACTAATACTCTTTGGCTATGATTTCCCTATAATCCTTTTTTTCATGTGTACTTACATTGCTTAGAAAATAGTTGTGAGTTATCTGGACTGTGTCCATTACTTAAGGGTGCCTACTCTTAATACAAACATTTATAGGTATCAACATACTATTTGCTATGCATTGCTTTATGTTTAATTTTACATTTTTATCCA